TCTTTATTTTTAGTTAGCACATACCTTAAACACTTAAAGCTGTAAGCTAATGATAGTTATATAAGAGCAGATGTTGCTGGTGCAATAAGCTGTACATTTTACTCCAATTGATGATGATCTGATTAGTCGACTAATCAAAATAATCGGTGACTAGTTGACTATCAAAATAATCGTTTGTGGCAGCCCTACCTAGGATAGCATTTTATTTTGAAGGAGAAAAGAGCTGATGTTTCTTTTTCTTTCTTTCTTTCTTTCTTTCTTTGATTTTCTTTCCCCTCATCTCCCAGCGAGTCACAGGAGTCTGCTGCACCTGGTCAAAAAAAAGAGTTTCAGAGTATGGCATTAATCAAAGCAACGTGTGGAAAAACCCTAACTGAACTCCTGGGATACAGTGAGATATCCCGAGAATATGGTATAGTTGATTTTAAATGCAAAAAGCAAAGCGGGAAAGCATGTGTTATAAATGGCTGTGTGTTTGTGTGTGTGTGCGTGTATTCATATCTTTGTGGGGACCAAAAACTGTACGTTTACTATACTTGTGGGGACCAATATCCCAGTTCCCACAAGTGAAAATGTCAAAATGTGGTTTTAGTGTCAGGGTTACAATTGAGTTCGGGTTAGGCATTCATTTTTCATGGTTAGGGTAGGTGGCTAGGGAAAGCGTTATGTCAATTAGATGAATACCCGATGTATGTGTGTGTTTGTGTGTGTGTGTGTGTGCTCAGCTACTAGCTAACGTCTGTCTTACCTTCCACAGATGCACAGTGTTTACTCTGTAACCTTCTAATCTGCCTGAAAGATGTCTGACACTGACAATACATCCCCTTGCCCCTGCTGCTCTCTTGTCTGGTTACCATAGTAACCAGTGACGCCATGGAAAGCTCCTATGAATCTGTCCAACAGTTTGGTGTCTGTCTGTGATGGTTTCTTGGCACAGTGCGTCATGGTTTTTATGGTTTAGTGACATAAGAAAGACCACACACACACTGACAGATGCTCGTGTGTGTGTGTGTGTGTAGGTGTGCATCGAGACCTACGTGTCCAGCTGTCACCAGCGCAGCATCAACACGGCGGTGAGAGCCACGCTGAGCCAGATATTGGGAGACCTGACGCTACAGCTCCGCCACAGACAGGAGGTCACACAATACTTTAATTATATACACACAGATATATTATACAGATGCATATGTGCACACATTAACTAGCAGAAAATTACAGTACAGTACCGCATTTGTTTTGACACAGAAGTGACAGTAAGCATGCCTCCTGTGTGTGTTCCTCCTCAGGGTGCAGATGGAGACGAGGTGACTGCACCGCCGCTGCAGAGACGAGGTACATCACTGCCAGCGGTTTCTCTCACCTCTGCAGCTTCCTTTGTCAGCTGTAGGGATGTACTTCATATGAGCACAGCATTTCACTGCCTAGTATCTTACTATGAATGCTGCAGACAGGACTATTGTAGGGTATGAATGTCGAGCAGAGACTAAATAAAAGCCTTAAGATCACTCTGACCTAACAGGAAGCTCCCTGATTGCCAGTCCCGCTCATGTTCACGCTGCCTGCTGAATTGGCCCCTGCAGTACACACAATAAAAACTTTTTATTCTGGTCAAAGCAGATGGTTGCTCCTCCCTCAGCCTGGTTTTCTTGAAGGTCTCTTCATGTTAAAAGGGAGTTCTTCTTCCCCACTATCACCAAGTGCTTTCTGAATGCTGGACTGGGGACATTGTTGCCCATTTTATGAGTGGCATGTGAAAGTTAAAGCATCACTGGTTGGTGGAGGCATAGAGACACTAGTTTGGCCCAGCAATGGTGAAAATGTCCGAGTTCAGCATTAAAGCTTGCGAGCCACTGGTAGCTGTGGGCTCTTCGTCATGTTTAGTGTGCAGCTCCAGCTGTTTTGTAGCTGTTATAAAGCCACTGTAATCACCAATCTGCTGGTAGTAAGAAGCACCTTCGGAGAGAGACTGGCAGGGCTGCTTTTATGATACCATAAACAGTCAAATGCACTGTTTCGATAGATCCTCTGCAGGCAGAGAGCCAAACAGGTTCCAGTTAGGGAACTGATTTATTCTGCTTCTTAGAGGGGAAACTGAGAGAGAGGGAATTGGGAAAGCAATGATTTTTTTATCACTTCATGTACATAGTGGCGAATGATAACGCAGGAACCACAAATTAACCTTTTTATGGTGCGTGTGGGGGGTGTGGCTTTTTGCAGATATTTCTCCCACCAGCCAAGCTCTGTGTGAAGATGTGGTCACGGTTCTGACCGTTTTCTGTGAAAAGCTGGAGTCAGTGGACAGGTAACGCTGCAGACTCTCATTGACTCACT